GGAGGGGCGAGGGGGAACATGGAGCTTGGTGATGGAGGGAGGGGCAAGGGGGAACATGGAGCTTGGTGATGGAGGGATGGGGTAAGGGGGAACACAGAGCTTGGTGATGGAGGGAGGGGCGAGGGCGAACATGGAGCTTGGTGATCGAGGGATGGGCGAAGGGGTAACATGGAGCTGGGTGACAGAAGGATGGGGTGAGGGGGGAACATGGAGCTTGATGATGGAGAAATGGGCGAGGGCTGGGGAGCATTCTCCTGGCTCTCTGTGTTCCTGTTCTCTCATTTACCCTCAGAGTGGACAGCAAATAAGTCCTTCCCTAAACCTGAGGCTGCCTCCTCCCATACAACGCCCACCCCTCCAGGTCCACAGTGCCAGTTAAAGGCCCTGGATGGTGCAAGGACTCTTGAGGGCATGCTCAGTCCTTCCACTGGCCCAGAGAAGGGATAAGCCCTGACTCAGGGTCCCTGGGGCATCTCAGTTTGGGAAGGGTAGAGTGGCCAGCATGGGCGTAGCCTCACCCACGGAGACCAGGTGTCCGAAGGTCTCCAGCATCACGTCATGGTACTCGGTCCTCTGCGTCGGGTCCAGCAGCCCCCATTCTTCCCTGCTGAAGTCTACAGCCACGTCCAGGAAGGTCACTGGCTCCTGCAATGTCATACAATGTCACTTTCTGTCTGCTCAGCAGGAGGGCCAGGGAGTCTTCAATGGGGACGGAAGAAAGGCTGGCTGGGACATTCTGACAGAGCTTGCTGTGTTGAAGATGCCCCTGCTTTGGGGTATGCCTGGCTTTGGGGTTTCCCTGGAAACACTGACTTGGGGCCCCTAAGAGGTCGAATGGGTCCTTCCTTACAAACCCAGAGTCTGGGGCCCAGGCTAGAGGCAGAGCCCCTGCTTCCCTAGGATCTACAAGTGCCACAAGCAATCTGCCTCCACCCTCCCACCCTGTCTCCAGCCCACCTTTCTCCGCCACTTCCCACAGGAGACTGCCCCTCCCGGGGCACACTCACTTCTTCTGGTACAGGCCCTCCTCATGTGAGGGAACCAGCCTCTACCTTTGTGGGGCAGTCACCCAGGCTGCTCTGTGGTCAGTCCTTTCTGAGGAGGTGACCCGGACTCCGGGAGCAAGAGGCCTCCCCCAGCCCTCTGCCTGGATCTGGGAGGCATTTTGCCCATAAGGGGCAGCGCCTACTTGAAAAGGAATGGGAGAAAGCAGAGCCACAAGACTGGGGTTGGAGAGATCCCTCCATCATCCGGGAGCCCCTGAAGACAGCCTTGCCTGCAGGCGACCCCAGACCACTTGTTACGAGAGCCAATAAATTGAGCCAGCCGTCAGCCACTCACAGCAGAACCACCGCCTCCCTCCCTCCACCCCCCACGCCATCACTTGGTCACAGCTGAGCCTCAAGCGTCAGGACAGTCCAGTTTCACCCACACTCCAGCTCTGGGTTATTTTCAAGCAAATCCCAGACTTTGTGTTAGTCAAACACCTAAATCTGCATTTCTGAAGGACAAGGGCTCTCTTTTTCTAATTGGGATCCAGATGTGGTGGTCTGTGGCTGCCCTGCCTGAGGCTGCCCTGCCTCCCATGCGTCTGTAAACACTTGGCCCCTCCCTCCTGCCTCCAGATTTCTTGACTCCCGGTCACTATGCGCCCCCTTGGTCTCCAATGATGCCAGGGTGGCTGGAGTGCAGGCCTGCCCTTCACGCTCAGAAATTAAAAGGCCTGGCCTACAGGAGGCCTTGGGGAGGGGTGGGCCCACCTCACGGTGGATGTTGTGACCAGAGAAGAAGAGGGTGACCCTCCCCACTCACCTCAGGCAGTGCCTTCTCTGGCCAGGAGGCCACAGCCTCCTGCTCCTTCTCCTCCTGCTGAGCCGCGGTCTCTAGAGGGCAGGTGGGCTCCTGGCCAGGCAGCGCTGGGAGAAAACAGTAGCACAGGGGATCAGCCGGGTGTGGTGCCAGCTCCCCCTCAGGCAGGCAAGTTCCACCCATGTCTCTCTCTCTGGGATCACAGAGCCAATGCACCCCGTATCTCATCCTGTGGTTGCTCCTGTGAGGTGTCCTGCATGTCCTTTCTTCTCACCAGCTCAGCTCCCCACTCAGCTCCTCCGTACAGCCCGGGCCCTAATCCCCACACCTGAAGGCCCAGGATGTGTCACCCCACACAGCCACAGTGCACCGGTGTCCCCACTGCTGAGACCCTGGTCCCACTCCCCTCTCTCCAAGGACTGTTCTGGACCCAGTCCCTCCTCTGAGGAACCTGCCTCATCTCCACACTCGCCTCAGCAGCTGGCCTCACACCTTCTCCTCAGAAACCAAGACCCCATTTCTGGCCTCCGAGTGCTCCCCAGCTTTCCTGCCTCCCTCCTGCTACCCCACGGAGGGTGGGACTTCCCCTGACCCCCAGGACTAGATCCACTCTCCCAACACACACCCATCTTGATGCAAATTTACCAAGTTTCCTCCACCTTAGAAAATAGCTCCGTCTGGCCTTACAGCCCCTCTCAACCACGGCTCCTTCATGTCCAACTTTCCTGTGTCCCCACCTGGTCCATGGGCTTCCATAATGACGACTCCACCTCCACCATCAAGCAGGACACACCACTTGACCCACGCTGGCCCATCAGGCCATCGCTCCCTCCTTGCCACAATGATTGGATCAGGGTTGAACACGGGGCCCACAGCCAGCCAATCAGAGCCAAAGAGGCTTTTGCTGGAACATTTAGGAAAGAGAAATTCCACGTGGGGAGACCCCACATACAAACAGTCTACCTGTAAGTGAAGCCCAAAGAGACCAGCAGAAGTATGATATAGGAGAAAGGACGAGTCCTGTGGACACTATTGGAGCCCCTGGGTCCAGCCATGCCTGCAGCTAAATCACCCTGGGACTTTTTAAATAAATTCTCCTTCTCTGTTGGGCCATTCTGTGCAAGGCTGTGTGGCAGTCACACCCAAGAGTCCCAATTAACACGCTGACCACAAATGTAGGGTTCTCTAGAAGGCCTTTCCCCAGCGTGCTCTGTAATCCTAATTGATTTCATTCACTCCCAAGGCGTAAACATAAGACAGACTCACTGACTTTCATCTCATGAGCTCACAACTGTCTCCTTGGCACCTGTATTAGTTTCCTATCACTGCTTTAGCAAATTGCCACAAGAGGGGCTCAAATAACACAAATTTGCTATTTTATGATTATGGAGATGAGAAGTCTGACCCAAGCCTCACTGGGCTAAAATCAAGGTGTGGGCAGGGCTGCGTTCCTTTTGGAGGCTCCAGGGGAGAATACATTCCTTGCTTTTTCCAGTTTCTAGAGACTGCCTAAAATACTTGGTTCATAGCTCTTTCCTTGCGTCCCCCTGCTTCTGTCCTCACATCTCCTCTGACTCTGACCCTTCCGCCTGCCTCTTATAAGGACACCTGTAATGACATTGGGCCCTCCTGAATAATCCAGGATAATCTCCCCATCTCAAGATCCTTAACTCAAGCCCATCTGCAAAGTACCTTTTGCCACGTGAGGTAACATATTCACAGGTTCAAAGGATTAGGACACAGACACCTTTGGGGGCCATTATCCCGCTAACAACAGTGCCCCAGACTCAGCGCGCATGTGAGACAATCACACTGCTGCCTGCCCGCTCCCTCCCCACACCTGCTCCTCCAGGAAGTCCCCATCCACCCTCCATCACACAAGTCAATCAGTCAATCATCCGTTTGCTCAAGAAACATCTTCTGGGGACACACCAGATGCTGGATGCCGTCGCAAACATGGGAAGAGGAGAAAAGAAAAGCAATGTCGTGCTCTATGGAACTCAGCCCGACAGAAATCAGGTCTCATGGAGTCTCACTCCCAAATACGTCCCATACGTGCTCTCTCCGCAGTGCCCCGCCACTGCCACTGCTGCCCAAGCCACCACACCTCTCAGCGGGCATGGTAACAGCTCTGGCGGCCCATCTGCTTCCAGGCTTACCCCACTCTCCGTCCACCATCCACCGCGCTGCACTGGGGAATCTTTACAGCTCACTCAGATCGTGCCACCTGCCCTGAGAACTCAGGGATCAGTTCCCACTGCTTTCAGACAACATGAAAATCCCTCCCAGGGGCCTGCCAGCCCTGCCCCTGCTCCCTCCCACAAACCTAACCAATTTCTCTTGGTTTTTGAATATGCTGTGACTGCTCTCACCTTGGGCCTCCTAGGTGATGCTCCTCCTGCTGAGCACATCCTTCCCGCACCCCCCCCTTTTTTTTTAATTTTATTTATTTATTTATTTTTCCCCAAAGCCCCAGTAGATAGTTGTATGTCATACTTGCACATCCTTCTAGTTGCTGTATGTGGGACACGGCCTCAGCATGGCCAGAGAAGCGGTGTGTCGGTGCGCACCCGGGATCCGAACCCGGGCCGCCAGCAGCGGAGCACGCGCACCTAACCGCCAAGCCACGGGGCCAGCCCCTTCCCGCCCCCTTCTGACTTCTACTCCAAACCAGGACTCAGCTCCAGCACCTCAGCTGCACCCTGAGTGCCTCTTGACCCCACCACTGTCACATGCAAATTCACTTGTCAAATTCCGGCCTTTCCTGCTAGACTGGCGGCTGGCTGAGCTCGTGAGTCCTTCTGAGTCCTGTCTGTCTTGGTCACCACATTATCCTCAGCCCCCACTGAGCACATGACAATAGAAGACACTTTGGAAATATGCCTGTGTGACTGAAATGAGCTTTTCTATGGGCTCGTGGTGCAGCATCCCCCAAAGGGATAGGAATGTAGCACTTTATCCATCAGCTTCCATCAAAAGCCTGTGGAAGGCTCATTAAAGGATGCAGTGCCAGGTCCCACCGGAGGGTTTCAGTAGCTCTGCGGTGGGGCCTGAGACCTTCCATTTGCACAAACGGTCCCAGGCTGAGGCCATCCTCAGAGCCCTTGATCTAGGGGCAATAGCAGGTACATCAGCAAGGAAGCGCCTAAAGCTCTGATTTGGGAACACGTGGGCGAGGCAGATGCCCTCTGCCTAGATGGAATGGACACGACTCTTTCCCCACCGCCCCAAGAAGCCTGGAGTTCTTCCTCCCCCATCCTCCAAGATGTCCCCACAGGAGTGACCCTCTCCCCACCTTTCCACTGCACTCACCTTCCTCCCCGGACATCCAGGTGACATCCTCCACCAGAGCCACGGCCTCCTGGCAGTTCTCTGGGTGCTGTGACTCCACCCACATCTGGAGCTTCCCGGGCAGGGCACCCAGGAACTGCTCCAGCACCAGCAGCTCCAGCATCTGCTCCTTGGAGCGCACCTCGGGCCGCAGCCACTGGTGGCACAGCTCACGCAGCTGAGCCAGGGCCTCTCGGGGCCCTGGGACCTCCTCAAAGCGGAATGCCCGGAACCTCTGGCGAGCGGCCTCGGGGTCAGCTGGATGCTCGCCCAGCTGTGGAGTGGGCTCCCAGAGAACGTCTGGGCTCAGGCCCTCATCTTCAGCATAGAGAGCTTGGATCTGGGCATTCCGGGGACAAGCTACCTCCCGGTTCAGTGTGAGGACTTCAACAACCTCGATCTTCATCAGGGGATTCCCAGCAGGAAGAGGATCCAACTGGGGGTCCAGCTGAGCCTCAGGGCACTCTGGAGGTCAAAAGCAGAGCAAGACGAATGGCCAACAAGCACATGAAAACACGCTCAACATCATTAGCCACCAACGAAATGCAAATCCAAGCCACTGCAAGGTACCACTTCATACTCACTAGGATGGCTATTACCAAAGACAGCCCGTAACCATTGTTGGTAAGGATGTGCAAAAGCTGGAATACTCGTACACTGCTGGTGGGAATAGAGAATGCTGCACCACTTTGCAAAACAGTCTGGCAGCCCCCCAAATAGCTAAACATAGAGTTATACTATGACCTAGGAGTTGTACTCCCAGGTATATATCTAAGAGAACTGAAAACATATGTTAATACAAAAACTTGTACCAGAATGTTCATAGCAGCATTATTCATCATAACCAATAAGGGAAAACGACTAAAATATCCATCAAATGATGAATGGATAAACAAAATGTGGTCTATCTATACAGTGGAATATTATTTGGCAATAAAAAGAAATGAAATACCAACACATGCTACAGCATGGATGAACCTTGACAACATTATGCTAAGTGAAAGAAGCTAGACACAAAAGGCCACATATTGTATGATTCCATTTATATGAAATGTCCAAAACAGACAAATATATAGAGGTAGAAAGTAGATTAGTAGTTCTCAGGAAATGGGGGACTTGAAGGGATCGGGGCGGGGGGTGATGGCTAACGGATACAGGGTTTCTCTTTTGTGGTGATGAAAATGTTCTGAAATTAGGTTGTAGTGATGGTTGCACAACCTTGTGAATATAGTAAGAACCACTGAACTGTACGCTTTCAAAGGGTAAAGTTTATGGTATGTAAATTATATCACAATACAGCAAAAAAAAAAAAAAAAAAAAATTCGAGCAAGAGGCAAAAAGGGATGAGAAGAGACCTGTGACGCTGTAGATGCCTGCAGCCGTGAGGGGAACAGAACCCGAGAAAGAAGACGTCTGGGAAAGGCAGGGGCTCTGGGTCCTGGCATCGAGTCCACAAGAGCATCTGCTGAACAGAACTCCAGGATGGCCCTGAAATGCTACAGAGAGCACACAAAGCAACAGGAAACAAGAAAGCTCTCTACAACTCTAAAAAGAAACACGAGTTCTAAATGACTTAGAGGCTTTAAAATATAAATAGAAAAAGCATGAATAACCATGGATTATGATTTACTTCCAATTAGATTTATGACGTTTTATAAGAACAGAAATGGCACAGCTGACATCAAGAGTACACCTGCACTTTCACCCTTGCTGTTGTGGTATGAGGGGTCAGCACAACTCTACCAGAGAAGGAACTTACAGCATGAACGCAAAGCCTTGGCAAAGATTGCCCAGGGACTTTCACCAGGTTAACCTACTATGGTCAGGGAGCTATCTGGAGATGAAGACAGACCTAGAGCTATGGAGAGAGCGAATACTCAGAGACAAAGGCCAGACCACACACGTCAACAGAACTCTGACCCACAACCTCTGTGGCAACACGCCCAGACAGTAAGGACTTGGTTAACGACTGCCAGTTTCTCTTTTTTGCCCCCAAGCCAATAACTTCCAACCTTGTTTTTTCGCTATAAATCTTCCCGTTCCCTGCCTGCCTTACAGCTTCTACCAGACACAAGCGATGGGGGCTGACCCCCTTGCTAAGCGGACGCTGAGTAAACAGCCTCTGCGTGTCCTCGACACACGTTTCCTGAGCAATGTGGCATATGACGGAGCAAAACTGGAAAACACAGGAAGTGTTAGGACATGGCTCAAGAAAATTGTGCAGAATTCCCACGTAAGCATTAAAAATTACATTGGTTTTAGTGTGACTATGACAACACGGGAAAGTTCCTGTCACGTTAAGTAAAAAGCAGCAGCGCAGGAAATTACTAGTGCGGAGCAACTGCAGCAGCGTCTTAAAGAAAGGAAAAAATAAAAGGAAAAAACTCGAGCAGCCCTGAAGAGCAGAGACTGCCTGCACGCGCCGCGTGTTTCTCTCGCTGCTCGCATCTTCAGCAAGTAAATCACGCTGAACCTGCCATCACGCAGTTCATTAAACCGCGCTCGGAGGTTGCGCTTTTGGCACTGCGCCGTTCCCGGACCCGCCCTTGGCCGAGGCCGCAGCCTTGACCGCATGCTCCGTCCGGGCCTCAGCCCCTCCTCCCGCGGTGAGACCCGGCAACGCCTCCAATCTCCCCACAGCCACGCCCTGTCCCCTCCGGGCTCGGAAGGGCGCACGGTCGCGACTTCCGGCCGCGCCCAGAAGTTCGTCAGGCGCCCCGCGCCAGCGCACTACAACTCCCAGGAGCCTCCACGGCGCGGACTTCCGGCGCCACCATGTTAAGACCTTGGCTCCCGCCCAGGCCCTAGCCTGACGGCGGCCGCTCGGCTGTGGAGTCCTTGGCTCTCATCTCCTCCCCGACCCCCCGCGACGGCGGACGCATGGCGGGGCGGCGCAGTGGAGCTTCCACACACGCCTGCCGGAGCCGCAAGTCTTCCCCTTTGGGCACCGCGGTGTTGGGGAGAGCGCGGCCACTTCCCCGGAAACCTCAGCATCCGGTTCCTAACCCACTTTCGTCTCCCGCCTCTCAATTCTCGCCTGGTCCCCTCAGGGCTTTCTCTTTTCCTGGTCACAAACCTTGCCGCGTCTGTGGTTTCCCGTCTCACCCGTTTCTCAGACCTAACGGGTGCTGCAGGTCGCTGGCGCGCCGCCCGCGTGAGTCAGCCCGGGGTCAGGAGCCCCTGCGGGGAGGCCGCGCTTACCCCACGCTGGCCTTGGGGCACCGTGGTTGCAAAAGAGGTCCTGGGCCGCACTTTCAGTTCTCGGCGCTCGCCAGTCACTCCCTTCCTACGTTTAAAGTGTTGTGGGCTTTGATAAGAATAATCAGAGGCATCTAGTTGGCAACCTCTCCCCCAAATGAGCTTTTGGATTAGGATTTTTTGTGTGTGTGAGGAAGATCAGCCCTGAGCTAACATCCATGCTAATCCTCTTTTTTGCTGAGGAAGACGGGCTCTGAACTAACATCTATTGCCAGTCCTCCTCTTTTTTTCCCCCCAAAGCCCCACTAGCTAGTTGTATGTCATAGTTGCACATCCTTCTAGTTGCTGTATGTGGGGACACGGTCTCAGCATGGCCAGAGAAGCGATGCGTGGGTGCGCGCGCGGGATCAGAACCCTGGCCGCCAGTAGCCCAGCGTAAGCACTTAACCGCTAAGCCACACAATGGCCCTGAATTAGTTTCATTTGGGGGTTTGCTCGTCCAGTGCCTCACCTGCAACTCCCTCTAGATCAAGTGAGTTTACCTTTAGTATTTCATTTCCTTCCTGTTGCTCAGGACTTGGGGGGGGGGTTATTTCCCCCTCTCCAAACTCTTGATTTGAAAGCACAGGTCATTTATTTTTCTTTCAATTAAAGCTCTTAAGTCTTGAAATTTCCCTCTGAGGACAACCTGAGAAGCCAGGGACAGGAATTCACCAGAGTCCCAGCAGCACTGGCCTGCGGAATGCCCCAATGCGGGAGATGTGGGGGGACTCCCTCGCGGCCGGGTGCTAGGCCACAGGCACCATGCTGAGCAATAATTATGCCTGACACTTAAAAGCAATTTTAATTCTCCATATTGCTTCATACCTTTCTCATTTCTAAAATCTTCATTCTGTACTCAGTGGTTCAGAGGGATTTTTATTTAGTGCTTTCTCCCTTAAAATAACTGTTGGGTTCTTTTTATTCTACTCCACCCCCTCTATCACCACTCCATTTCCAATGTATTTATTTCCCCTTTAATCTTGATCATGTATTTAGTTCCTCCTCTTATCCTTGTGGCATCAGGATGCTTTCTCAAAATCTTGCATTGAATGCTCACTCAAAAATGTTAACTCTTACTGTTTTAAGCTGTAGAGCCTGTCTAGGTTTGGATGTCAGGAACTCGGCCAGTTCTGACGGTGCTGAGAGCCCAGTGGATCCGCAGCACAGCTCTCCCTGCTGTAGCAGCCCTTCAGGCCGACACAGGTTCTGCAGTTACCACAAAGCACCTACTGGGTGCTATGCAGTGAATGCGATGGGCCACAAGCCTGGAAGCCAGTGGTAAGTCATTCTAAGCATCTCAGTCCTCAATCTCTCCTCCCTTGGACCATTCCCCAAGCCCTCTAAGGTAATCCTTACCGCTGTCTGTTTCAGGAAATTTATTTGCCCCACTTCATAGAGAAAATGAAAGTTCTTAAATTTACTAGCTGGCAGGGGTGGAACTGGCTCCTCACCTCACTGGGGCACGGCTGTAACTGACTGACCCACCCATCTATGTGGGGCTGCATAAAATAATCCTTATCAGTTGCAGCTCCAAGTACTGGCTTTCAACCCACCAGCTAAATGAACCCTGGGGGAAATTTGGACAATTTGGTTCCCTCAATCTGCAACCCCCTATCTAGCTAGTTATACAAATTCACTGAGCCTGTGGCCAAAGGGCTTAATCCTTCTGGGCCTCAGTTTCCTCACCCTGAGTGGTCAGGTACCCAGTGCCAGGTATGGCATGTAGTAAAGGCTGATGGGAGCTGCTGTTTTCTTCCTCTTGTTACTGTTTTCTTTTCTTATGTTCTTTGTGTTTCTCTGCTGCTTCCCTTCCAGGGTAAGCTGTCTCCCTCACGGTGCTCAGAGTTTCCTAGTGAACCCTGACTGACTGACCAGGTATATACTAGGGCTACCAGTCCACAAGTATAATAGTAACTAATAACAATGACCAGGGTCAGGAGGAGTGCTTACCTCAGCTCCCCTCACCCCTGTCCCTTTTCCTCCTTGTCCAGAATACCCCTAGCTCTCCAGCCTTTGTCCTCTCCCCATCATTCACTCCTCAGCTCTGCTAGGCATCCTGTTGCATCGCCTTCTAAGTATGCCTCCCCCACTGGACTGCTGAGGCTGCCAACTGGGTCTTGTGCATTGGAAACCCCAAAGCCAGGTCCAGAGGAGGATCTGCCAAAGGCACTGATGATCATCTTTACATTAGTCAAAGTCTTCGAATCAGTAACAGTAACTGCGGT